TTATCATTTTAAAAGGCTAATTGATCATTAGAAAACCCTTTTGCAATTATGTTAGCACAGCTGAAAACTGTTGTGCTGATTTAAAGAAGCAATAAAACTGGCCTTCTTGAGACTAGTTGAGTATCTGGAGCATCAGCAATTGTGGGTTCGATTACAGGCTCAAAATGGCCACAAACAAATAACTTTCTTCTGAAACTCGTCAGTCTATTCTTGTTCTGAGAAATGAAGGCTATTCCATGCGAGAAATTGCCAAGAAATGGAAGATCTCGTACAACGCTGTGTACTACTCCCTTCACAGAACAGCGCAAACTGGCTCTAACCAGAATAGAAAGAGGAGTGGGAGGCCCTGGTGCACAACTGAGCAAGAGGACAAATACATTAGAGTGTCTAGTTTGAGAAACAGGCGCCTCACAGGTCCTCAACTGGCAGCTTCATTAAATAGTACCCACAACGTCAACAGTGAAGAGGCGACTCCGGGATGCTGACCTTCTAGGCAGAGTTGCAAAGAAAAAGCCATATCTCAGACTGGCCAATAAAAAGAAAAGATTAAGATGGGCAGCCTGAGATATGGCTTTTTCTTTGCAACTCTGCCTAGAAGGTCAGAATCCCGGAGTCTCGGTCAGCCTTACCTCTGGGTTTCACCCCGAGTCTAATGGGCAGGTGGAACGAGTGAATCAAGATGCGGGTAGGTTCCTGTGGTCCTACTGCCAGGACCGGCCGGGGGAGTGGTCGGTGTTCTTGCCATGGGCCGAATATGCCCAGAACTCTCTCCGCCACTCCTCCACTAACCTATCACCATTTCAATGTGTTTTATGTTATCAGCCGGTTCTGGCACCGTGGCAGATTACCATATTAACCCCTCCTCAGGCCGGTGGTGGCTGGTCCGCTCCAGGAGTCTGAGGTGCGGGAGGTCCCTCCGCCCCCTCTGGACATCGTGGGGGCCCCTGCGTACTCCGTCCGTTCCATCCTGGATTTGAGACGTCGGGTGGGGGGCCTTCAGTACCTCGTGGATTGGGAGGGGTACGGTCCAGAGGAGGGGTGCTGGGTCCCGGTGAGGGATATCCCCAATCCCTCCCTGTGCAGGATTTCCACCGTCGCCATCCGGCTCGCCCTGCTCCGCGTCCTCCTGGCCGTCCCCGAGGCTGGTGTCGGCGCTCTGCTGGAGCTGCACGTCAAGGGGGGGGGGGGGGGGTACTGTCACGACTTCCTCCGAAGCTGCCTCCTCTCCTTGTTCGGGCAGGCTTCGGCGGTCGTCGTCACCAACCTTCTAGCCACTGCCACTCCTCATCTCATCATTCCATTGGTTTTGTCTTGTTTATTACACACACCTGGTTCATATCCCCTCATCAGTACCTGTATAAGTGTTCCCTCTGCCCCATGTGTCTTTGTGTGTGATTGTTCATTGTGGAGGATAGTTAAGCTCGGTGGAGCTCCGTGTATTTTGTATCGCAGGGATATTTCCCTGTGTGCCTTGTATTTTCCAGTGCGCCTGTTTTGCGCACTGGAGTGTTTTTTGACGCCTTACTACGTAACTCTGTATTTGCGGAATAAAGCCTGTTATTCTGTGATTTACCCTCCTGCGCTTGACTCCTTCGACATCTCCTCATCACAGGTCCACAGTGTTGAAAGCCTTGAACAGGTCAATGAAGAGGGCAGCACAGTGTTTCTTAGTATCTAAACTATTTATGACATAATTTAGAACCATAGAAGTAGCAGAGATGGTACTATGACCTGTCTTAGATAAACTGTTTTGTTAGAGAGTTGAGAGAGTTTATTAGATAACTATTTATGTGGCTTTACAAATCATATACAGAGGACATTGTGGTCTGGTTTAGTTCTTTCCACTGTTCCCTGACCTGGTTCAGACAGTCAGTCACTCTATATGCTCATGCGAAATCTATACACTGCTCAAACTGTTTCAGGTTAATACAGATTATTTTCAGGATTTTAGTATTAAGAAACCTTGTATACTGTATCTTTGAGATGGTTGTGCATAGTCTTGTTGGATAGTTGATAGACACTTGAATACAAAGAATGTTTATTCTATCGTCGATAAAACTATGGTCTGCTCAATGTTGAGAGTTCTTCCACGCGTTTCTGAACGAATTGAATTTCTCTGGTAGTAGGATGACTCACGTGATGAAAACAGGGAATCTGACACCCACAATTAACTTTCAACATCTGCCTGTCATTTCAACTCTGTAAGGGCATGTCAAAAGTTGGCAACTTCCACTGCAGTTCCTCGGTTCGGTTTCTCAGACCGACAGTGATTTGCTCAAGCATCCACTATAACTTTTAATGGCTTGATTGAGTTTGATGTGAATTATGCATGTAACACAATAAATAAAACAACCCTATCTATAATCAAATTGTGATTCAATCAATATGTGGTCCATAAAACAAACACAAATCGAATTGTATCCTGTCCTAATGTAATTTAGAATATAATAATGGGTTGTGTTCAATTTACACAGACGATCATTCCCCCTTTTTCCGTCTTTAGCCCTATGGGCCCTGGTCAAAAAGTAGTGCACTATAAAGGGAATAGGGTGCCATTTGGGAAGCAGAGGCCAATTAGGACGGGATGCCAACATCTTTATTCACCTGCCAATGTCAACAGTGTCTCCCAGTCATACTGCATACTGCTGGACCTTATAAATTAATATGTAGGCTAACAGCCATCACGGAAGTCGTCCCTGAGGGTGAGAGCCAGCATACGTTAAATACATATATCAACTCAATGATGTTTGAGACAGCTCAACCCACATTGCCACCTTTGATTGGACCGGCAGGATTCAGACACTGTACATAAGTGAAACTCCATCACCAGCATCAGATATGTTGAGGATCAGACAGCAGCGCTCCTCTTCAGGAGTTGGTTGTGTTTCCTCAAAATGACTCAGATGGTCAAAGGCACATATGATGTCACACATGTAGGCCTTGGTGATGTCCCAGCGGCATCCTGACAGGTGAACGCGTCAGTGATCAATGTGAATCTATGTGGTTTCTGCGGTCAGCAAGCAGGCGTCTTTGACGGAGATGGACTGTGTGGACTTGATTAATCATCGCCTTCACTGGAACAACTACTGTTTGAAGAGACCCATCTCAGCATCCCACTCTGTCTGTGTCCCAAATGGCTGCCTATTCCCTATATAGTGCACTACTTTTCCCAGAGCCCTATTTTGATCAGGGCCCATAGGGCTCTGGTCAAAAGTAGTGCACTATGTAGGGAATATGGTGCCATTTGCTACTGAGAGCCAAGAGCGTTGAAACGTAGCTTAGCTGATCTGTTTGGGTTTCATGGCAAGACCATCTTTTGGCAGACAAAAGGCTGCATTTAGGCCATCTCTGGCAGGGCCCCTCCATCAGTCACAACATCGCATCCAGTGGAAGGCAGAGAATAGAACACAATGTTTGACTTAGGGATAAAGTTTACTTTGGGCTGTGAAGTAGTTCTGGGATAGACCCTTGTCAAGTGTACTAAAAGTACACAGATGCAATATGCATGTGCTCCTTAGTGATAGGGAGTTTATAATTTCGTAAACAGTTGTGCACCTTGTGTAACCCATAAATGTAAGCACAGCTATTTTTTTATATAAATACTTCTGGTTAAATGAACTAAAGTGCTCAACTGATGATCTGCTTAATGTTAAACTTTGTTGTTACATTTTACATTTTTTGGATAGCATTAAAAGTTTCCAATGTTTGAACTGAATAACAACCAACCAACCTAGGTCCTAATTTTCTCTCAAAATCCTGAATGGAGGGAGAAGTTATCACTGCCTTCTGTGAGTATGTATAAACCAGGTCAACAAACATCAACTTTAATTGATTTGGACTGATCCAATTGATTGGAATCCAGCTTCATCAATCTCTTCTCATTGTGATCAGCATCAAGTCAAACAGGGCGAATGTTACAGTTGGATTGCAAAGAATGACTAACTTTTCACTTTCCACACAGCTTCTGAGAGGCTGCAAAGAGACATTTCATGGAGGCTGGAATGAGTGAGTGATGACAGATGGGATAAGAGGATTGGCTGAAAATCCAAGCCAGGAAAAGAAAGGTATATTCTGATTAAGGATTTTTGTTCACCAAATTATTGGGAGGGTCAAAATGTTATTCTCAGGGCTATCTTTTACAAGGAAAAACTCTGCATGGTAATCTGCAAAGAAACAATGGGTGCATTTATTCCCATGTCACCTTATTAACTTTGTTTATCCACAAATGTTCCAAATAACTGTTTTATTACAACTAAGACACAATATGCCAACACGTTATAAGAAGCATGACTTCAGTTGGCTGACTATAAATTCCTCTTTTGAACTCTTATTTTGTTTTGATCTATGGTATATGAGCAAAATGGAGAATGAATGTTAGGGACAAAACTGGAAGGACAAGGAATGGGGACAATTAATTGAGTACAAATGTTTTTTCATCAATTGCAATGATACTGTATGTCCCTCTATCAATCTCCTTGGATCATCTAATTACTTCCAGATGTGTCAGTGTCGGTGTTTTCAATCTTTCTCAGGAATTTAAACAGGATAATCCCTTTGGAACATCTTTGAAGTGTCTAAATTGCTGGAAAAGTCTTGAGATGGCCCCAAAGTACTATTTCAGCACCACTGTCACTATAAGACGTTTGCCTTAGAAACATGTGTCAGGAGATTCAATCAATCTGAGTAGCCTGAAAAATATTGGGAATGGAGAGGCAGTGTGGTCCATGCACAAATGATCCTACACTGTTAGAATAGTTTGAGGAAAGTTGCTCTAGCTGTCCCAGGCAACTTTGAAAATCAGCATAATAACGTCAGTCAAATTTATAATTAGCAGGCTATCTAATTCTAAACTTTCCATTTTCCTCTCCTTCTTTAGTGTTTTTTCCTAACTATTCCACTCTCTTTTATGTATTCCACTTCTCTTTTTCAAGTGTTTGATTCGTTGGCTGGCTGTGCATATTAATGAGATGGGACAGAGCTGGTTTTTAAAAGCTGCTGCTCAACAACATGTAGGGATAGAAGGCAAGCACCGCGAGCGCCGTCTAATGAAATGCGGATTACATTTCATCTGATCTGAGCGCTCTGGACCTAAGGAGTTCGTGAAAACTCGAGCGTATTCGGAAGAATATAGATCAAATATTATTCCTTCTGTCATCTCTAAAGTTAAGGAGCGAATACAAGGATAGTGTTGTTTGAGTGAATTTTACTAAGCGAAACCAGTCGGGAGGTTCGAATTTGAGGTTCCTCATCAGCAGACAAGATGCATCGTTGTACAACAGCAGCGTTGCTTTTGTTAATTATTGCTTTATATTCCCTCCAAGCAGAAGGTAGCTATCTAATCATATTTAAGCAATGCAAAACTTATCAGAAAAAACATATGTTTTCAGCATTTGACATGTTAAGCTGATGGTAATGAGTTTTTTAAAAACACAATTGGTTGGTTGGGCAGCCAAATTGCACCTGTAATGTTTTACCATTGCCATTAATTTACCATCTCCAAATCTGCTTGCTCACTTTTGGCAACAGTAGGCTATTGTTGTTTATAACGGTTGAGTTATTACTGTGTTGTACTTCTTGGTTAGTTTTGTAAAATTGTCGCTTTGTTCGTTTGTTGTGTTCACCACTCAGCCACAGGCTGTAGCCAGGCTACTTTGTATCAATTTTATTCGTCAGAGTTGTACATTTTATCCAAATGCATGGTGGTTAGGTGGTGTTGGGCTTTCCCTTACAAAAAAAGATTACAGTTTTGAAACTGCAGTAAAAGTGCAGTAACTGCAGTCGACTGTTGTATTTTGGACGCAGTAATTGCAGAACAACTGCAGTGTACGCATTTGAACTGCAGTTATACTGCAAAATTACTCCAGTAAAGAAACGGTCATATTTTGGATGCAGTTTTTGCAGCATACTGCAGTTATACTACAGTGTACTGCAGTTATACTGCACTCTGACTGCAATCTTTTTTCGTAAGGGGTTATCTGATTAGTCTTGGTCGGTTCTCGTGGTTGATTATGAGAATTGTAATGCCCGGCATTGAGGAATTGGAGATGATTGATGAGGGCGCCTTGAAGATGTGGGTCACACGTTCCATAGTGAGGACGAGCCTTACCTGACCATGCATGCGCGGGAAACAGTTCCAGTGGCGGTGTGAATCAGCGAGCCTTGATTTACAGCGGCGATAATAATGACGTGTTCTGTTTTACAACGCAGTTACTGAGCCCTCTTTTATCGTTCTTGTTCTCTTTCTTGTATTCCATACAGGTTTAGTGAGAACTAGGCATATGCTGCACCTGACAATCTGTGTGAAGTCAGGAAATCATACCAGAGATCTAGTCTACAGATGGCTGAAAACGTTCAGACCAAAGTGTTTATTTGAAAGCTTTTATTATAAAACATCTGTTTTATTTCTTCACAGCCTACAAGTGCAGGTGCACAAGAAAAGGGCCAAAGATTCGCTACAAGGATGTGCAAAAACTGGAGATTAAACCCAAACATCCTTTCTGCCAAGAGAAGATGATATTGTGAGTCATTCTTTGAATCATTTATCTCTCGCTCTCTTTCTGCATTGCCATTGTCAATCCCATTTTCTGTTTGTTTCAGAGATGTTAGTCACTCATTGTGTGCTATTCTGTTTGTTTACCAAATGCAGTAACTTGTCTAAATAGTCATTCTAATGTTCTAATCTGCTACTGTAAGCAGCTGATTGACCTATAAATATATTGCTAGGGAATGGAATCTGATAACTCCTCCGATCCAGACATTCTTGAGGAAATGATTCTCTTTGTCCAAATGCACCACCCAGTTGCCTATTATTCCCTATCATTTGATCCATTACTTTAAAAGCATTGCTTGCTCAACTGGACTACAGCACAGACAGCTACTGTTGTCGGTTTGAGTGCCCTTGGCATCCAATAGGGACTTTCCCTCTCCAGATAAGAGCGACTGTTTACCTCTTTTTGCGGGTTCCAAATAGACGTGTATTACCCTATACTACTGCATGCATCAGACCCCATTGTAAAATAGACACTGATCTCACATTTGAGTAATTTTCGGTGGAAGCAGACCTTACCTTTGTAAACCATCACATACTCTTTCGCCATCTGCTGTTCACTTGAGGTATCGCACATAAAATAATACCATTAAAACAAATGTTGTTCTGTCCTGCTGTTATGGAGTACAGTACATTGCTCTCCATATGATCTTAAGACTTTCGAGTCCGTCCAACAAAGAGTTGTTGGCCCTTGGACTATTAAACTGCTATTTACCGTTTTATTTACTGCTGGGTCTTCTGTCCTGGGGCCAATGTGAGAAACGTAATACTCAGGCAGTTTAATGCCAACCAGTTAAAGCAGGCCTACTTGCATAAGATGGTGGCCACTGACCTCTGACCTCAGTGTAAATTGAGACTCAGAGGGTTCTGGAAAGAGTACGCCTTCTCTCCTTTGTTGGCTGGCATTGGGTCACGTCTCAGAATTTAACATTCTGGGGGGCCACCCCAACTGTCACAGCAGTGTCTCCAACTCCAACTTAGGAGTTAACCAAATTAACCAAGACCTCAAGTGAATCATTAATTAAGAAGCAGACACACTAATAAGAGATTGATTTGAGAAGCCCCTGCAGAGCTTTGGGCACAACACACAGGACGTCATGACTGGCCCAAATATGTCATAAAGACAGACTAGTCTCTCTAACTGCTGCTCTGAATGTCAATGGGTTCATCTAGCCAGGCTCAGAGATCATGTATAAGGTCTACCCACCTAGTGCTGTTTCTAAAGCCTGTTCATAGATCCCCTCCATGAGTTTTTACATTTTAGGTGTCAGAGATAGAATGTATTAAAGTTATTGCAGTATTCTTACCACATTGCTTGGGTTGTTATAATTACTTTGCAGCTAACATTAACCAACATCGCTTATGATTCTAATGCAGTAAGGTGGATTAGCTATTTTCTCTTACACTCTCCCTCGCTTCTTTTGTTTGTCAGTGTCACCATGGAGAACGTGTCGCGTTTCAAGGGGCAGGAGTACTGTCTGCACCCCAAACTGCAGAGCACCAAAAACCTGGTCAAGTGGTTCCGGATCTGGAAGGATAAGCATAGGTGAGAGGTCATCCCACTCCATGAACTTAAGTTGTAAAGTACCGCTGTTGCATACAGATATATGATCTTATTTTAATCACCCTGTTGCAGGAGAACTTTACTGCAATGCAGGAAATGTAAAACTTGTAGTGTATTTGAGGTTTAACAAGGCTTCTGAAGTTTTCCACTTTGACATTTCAGACTTGATTTTCCCTTATGCAAAATGTATCAACCCCTACAAAAATGTCATTAATTATAATCTACATAATACAATTCACATTTCCTGTTGCTGCAGGATTATTTTCCTTCTGCAGCAAACTGGCTCAAATGAAGATCCTACATCTGTACTGCAGTTGAAATACATTTAGCAAACACTTATGTTAAATACTGTTTTATAGAAACAGATCTGGCACCTATTGCTCATAATACGAACTATAATGTATTATAGTGCTATTGAAAGTTTGGTTATAGGAATCTATATAGCTATGTAATTATGTATGATATTTGTCTGTATTTAACACTTTTTTTCTTGTCTCCTTTGCAGGGTGTATGAAGCTTAAACCATGGATTATGTGCACAAAGGGTACAAGTGAAAAAACACCATTAAGACAGTTTTTGTGAAGAACAAGACATAATCTCCCAGCAATCAGTACTTGGTCTTGGAGGGAGATTTATCAAGCAGAGATTTCTAGTTTGCTGGTGCCGTTTAAGTTGGCCATCAGGCTAATTATTGTTACTCACTTAAGTAATTTCAACTGTAATAATGGTCATATTTCTCCAATGACAATGTTCAAGGCTGTTTACGAGGGAAAGATGATATTGGAGGAAATGCTGTTAAAAAGGTCCTTGATGAATCTGGCCCAAGGTGTTTTTCTTTCGAATAGGAGATGTTTTGTTTGCCCTTGAACCATTTGTTTGTTCTGGTGACTACAGTATGTGGATGTCTTGGAAGATAAACGGGTCAAAGGGTTCTTGTTATTGTACCAACTGGGAGTTATCCTGCTGTATCTTGCTGTCCACTCCAGAAGTGTCAAACATAGCACACTGTATACGTGTCTAGGGAATGTGATGAAGGGAATTATTTAAAAACAACTATGTATATCATTCATTTTGTACATTTGAGTCCATTCAAAGAGAATAGTGTACAAGAGAAAGAAACACATTCAGATGACTAGGTCAATGTATAGTCATTTTAGATGTCCTTGGTGCCATGCTATTTCCATTATGCAATCAATCTGTTGTAGTTTATTATGAGGGATATATAAAGTCACCTGTTAAGTTATATCTTGTAAGACATATATTTTCTGTACCTGGTAGGAACTATTGTAAACAGCTATTGTATAATAAATTGTCCATTTGCCGTATTTTGTATCATTTTCCTGATGTCTTCAGTGTTCTTATGCTGTATTCTACAAAGACTGGAGTTCATCAACATGTTCCATTGTAGAAGAAACTCTTCATCATTACCTATGGAAAAGTAATCTTATCAAGATATATCTCATTGTACATCATAAGAATCAATACATTGAATAATGAAATTGTTACTTAATAAGTGGTTGATTATAAAGCATTTTCATATTATCCAATACCTTTCTGAATGATAACCTTCAAGGTGGTGTGATTATTTTGTAAGCTATTGAAACAGTTGAAGTCGGAAGTTTACATACACCTTAGCCAAATACATTTAAACTCAGTTTTTCACAATTCCTGACATTTAATCGTAATAAAAATTCCCTGTCTTAGGTCAGTTAGGAACACCACTTTATTTTAAGAATGTGAAATATCAGAATAATAGTAGAGAGAATGATTTATTTAAGCTTTTATTTCTTTCATCACATTCCCAGTGGGTCAGAAGTTTACATACTCAATTAGAATTTGGTAGCTGTTTGTACAGATGAACATGGGAACATGGTACCTTCAGGCGTTTGGAAATTGCTCCCAAGTATGAACCAGACTTGTGGAGGTCTACAATTTTTTTTCTGAGGTCTTGGCTGATTTCTTTTGATTTTTCCCATGATGTCAAGCAAAGAGGCACTGAGTTTGAAGGTAGGCCTTGAAATACATCCACAGGTACACCTCCAATTGACTCAAATGATGTCAATTAGCCTATCAGAAGCTTCGAAAGCCATGACATCATTTTCTGGAATTTTCCAAGCTGTTTAAAGACACAGTCAACTTAGTGTATGTAAACTTCTGACCCACTGGAATTGTGATACAGTGAATTATAAGTGAAATAATCTGTCTGTAAACAATTGTTACTTGTGTCATGCACAAAGTAGATGTCCTAGCCGACATGCCAAAACTATAGTTTGTGAACAAGAAATTTGTGGAGTGGTTGAAAAACGAGTTTTAATGACTCCAACCTAAGTGTATGTAAACTTCCGACTTCAACTGTATATGTTGTTACAATGACAGTTACATTTTTATTTCACCAAACAGAATGCTCAACATACATTTTCTTATTTTTTATATAAATAAACATTTTGTAAATAGACCAATAGCCTATGTTAGTGAATTCATCTAAGACTTTCTAGTGTAATGTATTGTATTGAGTTGTTGTTTTGCTATTTAAAATGTTCCTTCAGAAAGAGAATTTTGGAGTATCTGTTTGAACTGACCCACCAAGCACACATTAAAAGCATTCCAAAGAGTGTATGTCAACAAGCACAGCTATATAACATTTTAAAAATGCACTGTCTAAAACCTCCCTTTGTTTCCTTGATATTGTATCTTAATTGCTAAATCAACTTTGTATTTTCACTCCACACATCTATGAGCTTTCAGGCAGCCTAAATATAAAAATATCAGTCCATTTGTTATCGTTAGATGGTGCTGTGCTACTTAATGAACTGGTCACTGAGCCAACCCTCTCTGACTGAGCAACAAAGAAACTACACAGATTCAGTGGTGGAAAAAGTACTCAATTGTCATACTTGAGTAAAAGTAAAAGCTGGTTTTCAAAGTTTCTGGAATCCAGCCTTGCTCTCTTGGGGCTGAAAACAAGTCCTGCAATGCTGAACAGCCTTTCTCATGCAGCTAAGGGTGTGTTCAGCCTCAGAGACAGCTTACAGACTGCCGGGAAGGACTTGAGCAACTCCATATGATCAGCTGAACAGGCCAGGTATCCGTCCAGCTGTTTGGAGCTTTCTTGTGCTTGAGACGTCTTCATGGCAGAGAAGAAGTCCTCCTCATCTGATGAACTGGTGCCATCACCTAGCTGCAGCAAGGGTTCTTCCAGGTGGTCCTTGATGTAGTCCATTCCTGAAATACAAGGAAGATGACAATAGAAATCATGCCGTTATGAGCCTACATTAATCCATCACCATCCCCCATCTATATAAACCAAGCAACAGGGCTAAGTAGGCTACCCATTGGACTGAACCACAAAGTCAGGATTGTTGTTTAAATGGGTGGTTCTCAAATTTATGAAGTGTCAAAATGTACACTATACACAGTTGTTTATGAATAATAAAATACTGTTAATTAACCACGTTGTCTTACCCATTCTGATGGTGGCGTCATCCTTTGTCCACGTTGCTTTGGATTTGGGGAGAAGGATTGCAGCTGCGATCAGCTCAGGGTCGTGAAACATGTGGCTGAAGCGCTTCTTCAGTCCCAGTTGTAGCGCATCCACCAGAGGCTTACAGTACTTCAGAGACAACTTGATTCAGTCAAGTTTTGTGATCAGCAGCTTGATAGTTGGAAGTAGCCACCCCATCTGGACATTGGTTTCAGCCTGCAGGATGTTGATGGCCTTTGCTACTGGGCTCAGGTGGCAGCATACTCTGTGAGGAAGGCGAGTTCAGCTGGATTGAACCTGTGAAAAATTAATAATAATAATAATAATACTGTTTCCTAACCCTATACAAAGGGGACCACTAACCATTTCACCTGATTTAACTACAGTAATCAATGGCTGGATGAGTAGTTGACTAAATGGATCAATGATAGTGTATGGCTACAACATGTGAAACAGTTATTAGTCCCCAAGAAAGGGTCAGGAAACACTGCAACAGATTTAGACAACATTCAAGACCTTAAATTATGACAAAATAATACATCATCCTTACTTACATTGGAACCTATATGTCTGTGCAGAGAACTCTGACGGCCGCCTCTCCTTTGTCTTTGTCGATCCTCAGGAGTCTTTCTACAGCCATTAACCAGGAGTTCCACCTTGTAGCATTCGGGCGCAGCAGCTGGAGGTCGCAAGCATCTTCAACCGTTTCGGCTGCAAGTGTGGATCTTCCGCATTTGTTCCAAAGTGCTTGGCACTTGTCAAATGTTGAACGGGACACTTTTTTGTAAGCCTCACTGATGTTGCTTTCAGGGCATCGACTGTAGATACTAAGTTGAGTAGGTGGCAAGCACAGCACTGGTGCTTCGGCAGCTGGTACTCAAAACCATCATCTTCATTCAGGATCGTTGCCACATCAACAAACTCCACTTCTTCACCCTCCTCTTGTTCCTCTTCACCATCTTCCTGTCCTGGCTGAGCTGCTTCACCACCCACTGCTTCCACTGCCTCGTTGTTTTAATCTTCTCCAAACACTTGGAAAGCTTTCAAGAAGTTAGAGCCATTGTCTGTTGTTGTTCTCACAATCTTACCCCGGATTCAAACTCAGAATGGATGTCATTTAGGGCTCCTGCCAACACATCAAAGGTGTGCGATCCTCTCAACCGTTGACAGGCCAGGGCTGCAGAGAATCTGTTGAGACTGTCAGGGTCTATCCAGTGGGCTGTAACACCAATGAAACTCCGTCTTCTTGCAGACCAGCAGTCGGTGGTGGTGGCGATGTGGTCAACTCCTCTCATGGCCTCAGTCACCTTCTTCTTCATTTCTGTGGAGGCTTCATCAATCCTGGAGCGCAGTGTGAGCCTTGATAAGATATTTGAGTTAGGCTGCAGATCCTGGACAAACTCTCTGAACGGTTCTTGTTCTACAACAGCGAATGGTTGGAGCCCTTGGCCACATACCTCACCACAGCTTTGTCGATGGATTTTTGAGACACTGTCTTCAGTAATGTGCTCTGCTTGATGGTGGAGGGAGTCTTAGGGGCATGTTTTCTCTTCAGTTTGTTTGCTGTCAGTTCTCCATACTTCTTAAGATGGTGTACATGCTTTCTCTGAAATAAGATGAAATGGAAAAGACAGTTACTTAGCTACATAACTACCATCACCAAATACTTAATTCTAAAGCTATAAACAACATTAGTTAAGTGACAGTTTTGACCACCATTTAATATTACAATGAGAAAAAACTATGATAATTGATCTAGCTAGTAGGTTACATCAATAACTTAAGTCTACAGTAATTAGCTAGGTAAGAACAACTTTATCAACTAATAAAATGGCTAGCTAACCCCCGAAAGCTAACATTAGTTAGCTAGCTAGCTTGACCAGGTGTTTAGAGAAAAGGTATTTGGTTAGACTAACGTTAGCTGACTAAAATGTGCCCAGATTCGGAAACTACTAGTTAGCCAGCTTGTTAACAAACTAGCTAGTTAGCTCGTGTCAGTTTAGTTAGATTGCTTTAGCTAACAAAGCTTCCGAATCTGGGCACATTTTAGCCAGCTAAAGGGTAGCTACTAGCTAGTGTTAGAAATTGCGTAATTCAAATCTGGTATTGGAATAAGAGAAAACATAATCAAGAGATATTCAATCCAAGCTAAATTTATTATATGCAAAATGTATGTATGATAAGTATGATGGTTCGTATATGGGCTCACTGAAATACCACACAGGGCAGACAGAGAACTGGCTTCCTCATTACAAATTCTTCCTTAAATACCCTGACAGTTTTAGTTCCCGCTCTCTGCTGGGCCTATCAGGGTAGAGGTTGAGCGTGGTTTAGACTTGCCCAACCTATCGCTGGCGCTCAGGCTGGTCCCAGCCTCTTGGCGCTCCCCTATTGCCAGGTGTCTAGTTGTTTTGCAACTTATCCAGAAAGTCAGCACTTTTTTGCAGTACACGTCCTTGGACGGTTCACAGACAACAAAGAGGCAGTGTTCGGGTATTGTGAGACACAAGTTCTTATCTCCCCCTACTCCCTAAAACAGCTCCTCACATTTTAATCACAGCTTGTTAGGTTAAACAATTTATATCAGTACAGTACAAACCTTTTATGCTTAATCATTAATGCATTCTTTCTATGCTAGTCATCACATCCAGTTATGAGAAAATAGATCCCCACACTAGTGAACTATTTAGGTATATAGGATTAGCTAGCATCAACTAACACTACTTGTTGCATTAGCACATGTGGGCTAGCTAGCATGCTAATTAGCATGCTAACAGTAGGCTTACCTCAATGTGATTTTCTAGGTTCGAAGGAGAGTTCTTGAACGCTTTTATTTCCTGAACTTTTGGTAAACATAACAGACATTTCATCCGGTAGGATGAATCCTTCATTCCGATACAGCCAAGGGTGTTCTTCCTCACCAGGAGGTGGTTGTAGAGCGATGTCGGACACGCTTGGCCAAAGTGATACCGAGTGGACGACTGTTTTGCATGTGACAGGCGCCCTTCTTCTTCTTCAGTGGGGTTTATCGGCGGTTGGCATCCAACATTATGGTGCATTACCACCACCTACCGTACTGGAATGTGGGCCAGAGACTGGAAGAAACTATATCCTACCTGCCAACCCCGTTTCTCTTTAAAAAGATAACAAAATATTTGAGACTATATCTAATGACGTTCTGCTCAATATACTCTTTAAACGAATTTCCTGTATCCCCTTCTCCCTCATCCTCTCTCGTTCCCTCTGATACTGCCCACACTGTAGCAATACATGCTCCACAGTCTCTATTTCCTGACATTAATCACACTTTCCTGATGGATGCTTTCCTATCACGTTTAGTGTC